TTTTTTTTACGATTGGACAGTCCACTTCTCGTATTTTTCTACGAAACCTCTTGTCATCCTTCATATCTCGTCGTCGCTCCAATGTGGCATACATTGCTTAGTTTAGGGAAGTATTAGTGGCGTTACAGCATTTAGGTGGTATGCAGTCATCGACGATCATCTTTCTCTCTCTTACAGCCTTTCTAGGCATCGGACCCAGTCCATCACGAAGATACGAATTTCTAGGCAATTTTTTTAGGAGAGCCAACAGGGAAGGGGGGTGGGGGAGAGTTTGTCTCGGCTACGTTCGGAAATAAACCGAAGGAAATAAACGGTCATTCATGTTTTGAATCATATGGTGTAAAGATAAGCAAAATATAGAAATACTTGGTGACATTTTGAAACAAGTTCCTCTACAGTTGTTTTATATGGATGTGGATATTTGGATATTTTTCCACACTTTAAAATTTTACAGAATCATCCTCTCGTGCAGCAATAATACGTTGCAAGGAAGGATCTTTTTTAGGTCTGCAAGAAAAGCATAAAGATTAACATTTCTAGCAGAATTTTTTTTTCTTTTCTTTCTTTTGGGATTACAGGGTCAACACATAATTTTATGTGCATCTGGTAACAGCTCCAAGTTCTCCGGTATATATTCTTTTCAGGAATACCTCTTTTCCTCTTTTGCAGCTGTTCTTTTTACAGGCTTTTCAGGCTTTACTGCACGTCTCGTCTTGTGCTTCGTTACGTTTACAGGTCGCCGCGAACGAATGACTGTCGAATATATCAATGCATTGAAAACTTCTCGAGTAAAAATAAGAATATCAAGAAAAACGTAAATAGTTTTAAAAAAGTAATAGTAGTAGAAATAGTAATAGTAAAAGAAAATAATAAAAAAAGAGACAGCTATCTTTCATTGGATGATTTAATTGAATAGAATGTAACGGTTTCTTACAAGTTATGTTTAATTTCGTAAGAAGAGTAAAAAAAGAAAAAACGTATCATCTCATTATATAGTAAACTGTGGACTGATACCAGTACCCTTTCTCCCCATTTCTTAGCTTAGGGTCGTGCCGATCAAAAGCATTCGCTTACCACTACCACTACTTCTACCACTACTTCTACCACTACTACTACTACTACTACCGAACATGACAAAATACCACACTGCCTGGGGAGAGGCTAGCCCAGTCCCTCGAGGCAAGTACCTACCATTCTCATGCCTTCGTACATTGGATTATGCGACGATTTTGTAGACCCCCTTCCTCGATGTGTTGTCGGTTCTCCTGTACCAATGGTGCGTTCTCTGATTCAATAATTTTACATCGATAAAAGCATATTGCTCTATTAAATTGCTAGGTGATTAGCAACTTTGAGACATAGAATCAATTATATGACAAAATAAAAGAAGAAAAATGTAATTCCTCATCGAGAGCAGCATGCTGTTATCTAAAGTTTTGTGTTTTCAGTTCCTTAGTTCATCGAGATATGTGTAAGTATAACAATTCAATATATATACTTGTTAATATATATATATATATATATATATATATATATATATATGTATATATATATTACATTAAAAATGAATATCAAAGTCAAAGATTCCATGTTTGAAATAACAAACGATATAAAGAGAAAGACGCCGAAGCGCAATCGAGCGGAAATTATTTCGTCCGGCACGAAGGCTATGTGTGTAAGGAGTTGTTACCGAGGAAAGATACGCAAGCATATCTATGCATTTATATTTCACTTTTCTCATATTGAGACGATGCAACTTTCTTTTCAAATTGTTCTAGAATAAATTTATCGGAGATTCAATTAAATATCTTGCTATTAATTATCACAATTTGAAGTTATTTTAATATCTGAAAAAAAATTATTTTGATAATAAACTTAGATTATAAATTTTATATATGTATACTTAATTTTTTATAAATACGAGATCTTTGATTATATGAAAAAGTTTCCAGAAAAAGTTTTTTTGAAGGAATATAAATATTTTTAAATATATATTGCAATGCATAATTTTTGATACTTTTCATATAATTTAAATTTTTTATAACTATTTTTTATAACTAATATCGGAGTTGCATAGTCTATACGTATAGATCTGAAGATTATGTGTTATGCGAATGAGGTAGTAATAGTTTCACGATAATACAGGTGAAAGAGTTATTGATGAGCTTTGGACAACTGAGGGCATTCAATTTAGTAAAGGATTCCGCTACTGGTCTCTCCAAGGGGTATGCCTTCTGCGAATATGTAGACGTCTCGATGACCGACCAGGCGATTGCCGGATTGAACGGGATGCAGTTGGGTGATAAGAAATTAATTGTACAACGCGCCAGCGTAGGTGCCAAGAATCCCATGATAGGCGCACAAGCTCCAGTACAAATTCAAGTGCCTGGTTTGTCGATGGTCGGCACGAGCGGACCTGCGACCGAAGTAAGCTTTGCTAAAATTCGAATAAGCTTATCAGAAATCACTAAATTATAATTTGACGATTTAAATAATCGTATAACATCTTTCAGGTGCTTTGTTTGCTCAATATGGTCACACCGGAAGAATTAATGGAAGAAGAAGAATATGAAGATATTCTCGAGGACATTAAAGAAGAGTGTAACAAATACGGCGTTGTGCGATCTGTGGAAATTCCAAGACCCATCGAAGGTGTCGATGTACCCGGATGTGGAAAGGTACATTTAATATTGATGCAATAGTATCTGCATATTACTTATTCTTTTACTCTGTTACAGGTATTTGTTGAATTCAATAGCGTGATTGACTGTCAAAAGGCGCAGCAAACTCTCACAGGACGAAAGTTTAATAATCGTGTTGTAGTCACATCGTACTTCGATCCCGACAAATATCATCGTAGAGAATTCTAAATAGAGTTCTCCTTTTCATACCGTTTAATTAATTTTATATATATATA